GGGGGGGGGTGCGCGCGCATGCGCATGTGTGTGTGCATGCATGACCTTCTGTGGAACATAAGAACTCTTATGGCAAGTTTGTAGTGTTTTCAACAAGTCAATTCATACCAGAATAAAAGTGAATTATAATGAATGCAGGAAAGTGCTTCATAATAATGATCCTGTCTCCTTAAGAAATTCAACATTTATATAAGAGGGAAAACCTAGAACATGTTAAAGCTTCTCCTAAACATTAATCAGTATATATTCAAAAATAAATGAGGAGTGGAAAAGGAGGAAAAGTCTCTTAGGTTTATCATCTATAAATACCAGAGGTAAAAATCTTACTTTGTTTCCAGCTGGGGCTTTATGGAAGGGGATTGAAAAATAAATCCTTCCCCTTGCCTTGCACTTTGAGCTTTCTTTTAAGTGAAGAAACAGCACAATTTCCATGTGGGACTCATGTAGCTACATAAAGCCAAGAGGGACTTGGATTTCCCAACAGGACATATTCTACTTAGTTTCCTTCTGGAGAAATTATTAAAAATAGTTGCTGCTACCTAGAAAAAAAATCTGTTTTTTCCTAAGCCAAGAAGCACACTTACCATCATTCACACAGTTGCAAAACCCACACTGATACTGCCTTCCTCCTTCGATGAACTGCATGAACGGGCACATGTAGGCCTTGCACCTGTTACACCTGACTGGTCCATTCTCTCCATGATTTACCAAATAAAGGGGAGTCTGCAAGAAGCAAGTGAAACGTGATGAATAGTGGGTATATCATCTCTAAGTTTTATAGTTAAAATTTGAAAAGTATTCTAATGACAATCATTAAGGAACTTTCAACATGCGGTATGTGCCAGGACAGTCTATGTCCCTGTTGTTAACATACGAATTTAAGGTAATACAATGCTGTCCACAATAGCCAGCCAAAAGTAAATTCAAATTTATATGTCACTTACAAGAATACAAATATGTACTCATATATTTGTATCTATATATGTGTGTGTATTTACCTATATGAATGTGGAAAAAGGAGAAAGAAAATATAATAATATCTAATTATGCTTATGTTAAAACATGCTGGATATCTATTTCACACATTTTGCTAAGCTTGCTTATGGACTACAAATAAAGTGAAAATTGGTCTGCTTTTAAAAGCTCCAGTATTGCACAGCAGTATACTGTTTATGTAGTTTTCGCAGAGTATATAAAATATTTCTTCAAAAATGGAACTATCTGAAGAAACATACAAGAATATCTACTCATTAGGCTAGGAGGTCAGTTCTGCCTTGTCTGTTATTTTATCAAATGACAAACTATTTCAGAGCACTCTCAATGTGGCTGGCCATGCTTTGTCAAAGCTAGAAAAATGCACCTTCTTCACAAAGATATGTAGAAAACATGATACGCACTTACAGTTTGAAAGTGAAAAAGCTAGGCATTACAAAGAAATCTAAGAAAGCTGTTTGTTTCTTAATGTCTCCAGCTTTTCAGAGAACCACAAAGATCCATCTTATTTTATAAGTCTCCTTAAAGATAACATGTTTTGAAATGCTTGAGAATTGCAGGGTTTGGCATATATAAAATTTTTTAAAAATTTAAGATACTCATGTAAATAAAGCAGTCTGCCTTTTAATGGAGGCCTGAAGAACAGGAGGTAGGAGATAGGAGGAGGGGCTGGTGGAGGTGGGGGATGGGGAACAGTCATCAGAACATTTCCTGCTAAAGCCTTAGAAAACTGAGATCTGTTGTTCGTCCTTGTGCAGATGTTCCGTGTGAAAACTGATCCTCTGCTGAGATTTTTAGAAATGAGCTAGGAGGTCTCAGAGCAGGAGGGGTGGGCAGGGGGGAGAGAGAGAGTGTGCGATTTAGTACAATACTAAAAAAAAAAGAGAAAGGATAAAATAAATACATTCAGAATCCCAGTTTATGGTCTCCATGTCCACTACAGGGACACAGCTCTGCGGCTGCGCTGGCAGGGTTGGGTCAAGGGTCAAATGAGTAATACGTGCCCTGTGCTGTAGACAGCAACACGCCAGGTACAAATGCTGGGAAAAGGTGTCATCATTTCTATCCAGAACAATCTGTCCTCTCAAAATTACTCAGCCCAGGAGAATGTCATTAATAGGAGGGTTGCTGCACAGTAAGTATGAGATGGACAGAGTATGAGTCCTGTTAGTTACCCCAAAATATTATCTGGTTAAAATGACCCAGAAGAAAGAGAATTTACCAGGAGATTTTGTACAATCTGATGGTTAAAGTGAGAAACAGAGAAGATTTTTTAAAATGCTAGGTAACTAGTTTAAATATAGATTCACACAAATTTATACATTGACACATACAGCTCTTTTATACAAATCTTTGGTTTGAAAGGCATAAAGTGATAAACGTTTGTTCTCTTTAGCTGATAATAAGAGATGATGTGAGGAGACAAGACAGAAGCAAAAAGATGCAGGTGCAAGAAAAAGATGATAATGAAGATTCTTAGGACGGTAAGTGAAGTATGAGAGTAAGAAGTGAGAGACAACAACAAATATATACTGATCATGTTGCTGTTTCTGGATGGAAAGTCTAATTATCCAGTATGTCTTTGGCTACTGTTCTGATCTACAGCTTCAAAGCCCCTGAGATCAAGAATGCTTTTAGAAGCTGAAATAGGTAGAAATTCTGCAATGTTCATTTACTTTAGCCAAATTTGCTTTTATCATCCTTTTATATTGAGTTCAAAGAACATAATCAATGCTATGAGAGACTTTAGAAACAAAACATGATGCAATTATTTGACAGACAAGCCAGAAGTAATGGAAAGAAAATTGCCTTTATTTTTACTGCCATGATTTGCTCAAAGCCAGGCCCAGCCAAAAATTACTATGAATGTCAGCAACTAACACCTAAGCATTCCAGCCCTGGCAGATTCCAACTTGTAGAGAATGTCTAGCAATAAACTGGAGTCAAGTCATGACTCGGCTATTAAATACTTACCTTTCCTATTTTCACTCTTTTGGAAAGCAGATGATAGGTAAGGTCTTCAGATATTCAAGGTGACAGCAAAGAATGTTAAAAGCTTTTTAGCTGTTTATATTTTATTTGGGGGCAAGAGGGCAAGGGTTTCTAAAAGACACCGTCTTGTTTCATCTCTCTTAGGCCATGTTGAAAACCATCAAAGATTTTTCTTCACTCTCTCTAGATCTGTTTGCCTACAGAACTGTGCATGAGCTCCTAAACAGACTAAGCTCATTTTTCCTGTGTTCGATTTTAGTGAATACTGTACAGCCTTTCTTTAAAAATCATATTACTTTCCCAAAAAATGCCCTAAGTTTTTTGTTTCCCTTAACAAGCACACTGTATCATGTTTGCTCCAGAAACATTTTCAGGTTACAGAATTTTGTCTACAGTGAACTTTCATCTTAGGCTTTCAGGAGATTATTGCCTCCTCTTTCTTTTCCTTTCTTCTTTTATAAATGCAAAAGTGAGAGCATGGAGCTGGGGATTTAGCTCAGTGGTGCTGCACCTGCCTGGTACTGAGTTTAATCCCTGATACAAAAAAAAAAAGTGAAAGGATGGTGAGTCTGGCTCTGGCCCCGTGCAGCATGAATTTATACAATCTAAAATTGATGGGAAGCTGAGGAAAGACAAGGGAGGAGAGTCATTTGAATCTCATATTTCTGGATCAACAAGGGTATGTCAAATAGTACATTGGTATTAATTTTCATTAAAATCCTTAAATTGAATAAAATGCACCTCTTTTTGTGCATATATAGTAAATACCACAGTCCATTTTGGTCCACAAGCAAAAGTATTATTCACTCAGTATTAAAATGATATCAATGATTACAAAGCAAAACACTTTTTGATTAAATTTTCATGTTAAAGAGGTATATATCAAGCTGGGCCTAGTGGTGCAGTCCTGTAATCCTAGTACTCTGAGGCTGAGGCAGGAGAATTATAAGTTCAAGCCCAGCCTAGGGAACTTTGTGACTTAGTAAGACCCAGCCTATAAATAAATAAATAAATAACTTAATTTTGAAACAGGGTTGGAGATATAACAAAAAGAAGGAAAGAAACAAACTACTAATAATACCTTTTAATTTTTCTTATTTTAACTTATTATCAGTTTTTAGTTTTTAATATATTATCCGTTTCCTTCTCTCATATAACATTTGCATAGTGGATACACTGTTTGCCTTCCTTGCCTGAGATGCAGTGGAATACAAACAAGTTACAACCGCACACATATGCTATTAAAAGAACAGTGTAAGAGTAGAAAGAACACTTTCCCAACCATTAGTAACAAAAGCTATTTTTGGCTTCAAAAGGCAATGTTAAACTATTCACAGATTGTATTTCCAAAATAAAAGCAGATGCTGAAAAAAGAAATTGAAGTACAATGTAGGAAGACCCATAACGAAGAATTTTTATAAAGATTATAGGCTGTGTATTTTTGTTATGGCACCTGTATTGCTAAGAAAAGTCTCGATACATAAATCTAGCTATAGATTTCTGTTTTAGGAAAGTGATCTACAGAAAGCAGCTAAATACCAAACATGGGAAGCCAAAAATATGAAGGTGTTTTAACAGCATGGCTCCAGTAGGTGGCATTGTGGAACTAAAAATTAAAATAAAGCTGAAACTAATTTATCAGTGGTTTAATACAGTATGCATAATTGTGTTATATTCATTTTACGTAATTCTAATAACATTTAGCTGAGCTAATAGCAGCTATTACCATCACAAAATTAAGAAACCTAAACTTTCTTAAAATTATTAAACCTATGATTAATGGTTTAAAATATTCTAAGTGAAACAATGAAATTAAACATGAACATAGGCTATTTTATGCACAAATTAAATATGTGCCAGACTTACTGAGGTAATAAGCAAGAAAATGCATTTAAAATGTTTCTAATGCTCTGCCACATTTCCTTGACTACATGAACGGAAATGGATACACTGTTGGGCTAGGCAGCTAGAGAGTACAGCAGGCAACTTTAAAAGCCGCCTGAGAAGCAAAGTGAAAAATGAAAAAACAACACACTATGATGCTTGCTGAATCAGGGCACTTGGCAGCACACTTGAAGAAATGTTCCTCTAAAGTAAAAAGCTACTTTCCCGGTGGAGCATCAAATCACCAGTAACGATGCAAACACAGGGGCAGAGGATAAAATGGACAAACTCCAGGTCTCAGGTGACCCCAAATTAGTGAGGTCGTATCTGACAGGATTCAGGATGTTGCTGGGTGGAACTGACCCCATCTTTCCTTTCTTCTCAAATGTGCCTCACCAACCACTTCTCTTATATTTTAGCACTAAAGTTTATACAAGTTCACACACACCTATGCACATGCACACACACACACACACACACACAGACACACATACACACACACACACACACTTATTTTTACCACCTATTTCTCCTTCTCTTCTAAGACTTATTTACTCATCTTGAAAAAAGATAGACGTTTTCCATGTTAAATGAACACTTCTCTCTTTCCTCTCTTTTTATTTCCTTCATCACAAGACTCAAGGAAAGTTATCAGTGTCCTGGAACTATACAGTTGGCTGACATCACTAATAATCTATTGCTGTATATCTGCAGGAAATAGTGAGGCGATGGAAGAGCAGCAGCGTTAGATTCCCAGAGAATTACAGCCAGGAGCTGTATCAACGTTTTAAAGACATCTCCATATGAAAGAGAAATGAGAAGCAGCTTGCACGTGTCTTCTAATTTTAGCTTTT